GATCGGCTAACAATTCAGTGAATTATGGGTAATTTTCCGTATTCTTAATGATAAGATTTCTTTTACGTATATGCGATTGCCATGCAATGTGTTATATTCATCCAGACAATATGAAGAATGAGACTTTTATCTTATAATGATGGTTAACTCACCTGTCTTGATTGTCCACCAAAACAAGTACAACTAATTATTCAACCTTACCAAAATAAGGATCTTTTTTTCAGCCTCTAGAGATCCCTTGCTCCACCACCACTACAATTCGCTCATGCTATAACGCATGCGATCCGGCAAATACATTAAACCATAGTCCAGGCATAGCTAGAACTCATACCATCGACAAGGATGCTCTCTCGGCTTTTAACACTGCACACTTCCTTTTTAAGCCTATTACATATTAACGCACGTTCACTTCTGAACAAAATTTCAGCCTTGAGAACCTTAGCCTTTCTAGCCAAGCCTTCTTTTATACTTATCACTGAAACGTGATGTTATGCAGCAGTTGCCGATTCCGAATTAAATATCCAGAACTATCGACTCTATCGCTGCGACAGAGAAACTAAGCGAGTAGGCGGTTGACTGAAAGCATGCAGACTGGGACCTCCTGCGCTCACTGATCAAACTGTCACACTGGGATGAATTCTTCTCATGAAATTGTCTGACAGATGCCATCAACATATTCTATTTGATTGTTAACGCTTTTCTAGACTCCTGTGCACCAATTAAAACTTACCCTAACAAGGGGTGATAATATACTTGATCTAATATTTAGTAGAGACATCATCCCCCTATCTGCACAAGTATACAACGAGTTTGAAAGCAGTGATCATTGGACAGTAGCTTGTTTTCTCCCAATATATCCCTCCTACAACCGATCAATTCAAAGAACCTGCAAGTATAGAGACTATGAGCATGCAGACTGGGACCTCTTGCGCTCACTGATCAAACTCTCAGACTTGGATGGATTCTTCTCATGAAATTGTCTGACAGATGCCATCAACATATTCTATTTGATTGTTAACTCTTGTCTAGACTCCTGTGCACCAATTAAAACTTACAGGATTAGTAAACATTACGAATTATATATACCACCTAAATATCGTAATAAACTAAGACACCTAAAGAAATGTTACTTTAAATCTAACGACTTCACGGCAGTCACACAAATAACAATAATTTTTAACCAAATTAGAGAGAAACATAGGTTAAAAGCCATCAATGAAGAGCTTTTAGCACTAAGTACTTCTTCAGGAATGCACAAACTAATTCTTCTTTTCAATAAACGCGCTAAATCAACTGAAAATTTTGACATACCATGCATCCTGCATAACAATAGTTTTATATATGACTCTTAAACTATAGCAGACCTTTTAAGTGGTAATTTTGCAAAAGACAGAGAATACATGAATGACGCTGTATCAAGAGTTATATGCATGACTAGTAACTCAATAAAATCTATCTCCATCACATGCTTGAAAATTAGTAAGGTTTAAGTAACCTTAAGGTTTCTAAAGGTCACGGAGCAAATGAGATTTCAACATTTCACAACAAATATGATTGTTCAGATATTTCACTTCTTCTAATATAGCTATGGAATCAGGCTCTTATCCTGACTGTCGAAAAACAGCGTACATCATACCACATTGCAAATCTGAAGATAAGACTGACATAAACAACTATCGTTCGATAAATATTACTCCAGTGATCTCCAGGATTATGGAAAAAATTATTATTGACGAACTATCCAACTATTTATTGACTGAACAATTTATTGATGATTCGCAACATGGATTTCTTAAAAATCGATCTTGTATGACATGTCATTTTGACTTTTTTAATTTAGTCTAGTCTCTTCGTAAACAAGGATATCTAGTATTAGTTCTATACCTGGAAATTTCTAAGGCCTTCGACGTGGTCAACCATCACCTTCTCATAGGAATGCTTGCATCTCATAGAGTCCAAAATCCTTTCATGGATATTTCAAAATTTTTACTGATGCATAGATGATTGTAAGGATGGCTCGTTAGCAAACTCAAGGAAGCCTTAAGTAAACGGAGACGACCCAGATTATCTGTCAACTGATCAACTAATGTGTGACTTGATGGGCGACCAATTACTTACGCAATGACAAATACCTGTAGCCCATCAAGACTACTTATCGAACTCTGTCCTTGTTAACTGTTTTTAGTTGCTGTTCACTTTTTTTATGTTTGCTTTCAATTTAGGACGCAGTGTATTCCGTGGCTCCCAAACTTTGGTTTTCACATTGAAATCTTCAGCTGACACTTGTCACCTGATGACGTTTGACCGCAGTCTTATCAAAATATCTTCTTATGAGTGTGTGAATTCTTGATGATCGTAGTATTTTCACAGTTGAAAACAGGAATCGATATAAATGTGATAACGAATAGAAACCAAGTAGCAATGAACAGTGTTTTTTCATCCTAGGTTGTGACTCAAGAGTGATTCAAAATAAAAGAAACTTCCAAGCATCAACGCGTTATAGGTTAGATAACTCGGAACCTTTATAACAAACAATCGCATTGTAGTAAACAGAACACTAGTTGGGGACAATCGAATGTATTTAAGCAAAGATTACAGACTATCTCAATAAATTCTGATTACTAAACAACGAACAGTCAATTTGCAAATTAACAACCAATTGTTTCAATCTTCACTGTTTCTTCTCTTATTCCATTGCTCATGCATTTTCCAGACGTTTGCGTTTCATTTCAGTTCTTTCCTCATCGGTCTTCTGCCAAAATACATTCTATAACTGAGCATCACCATAAACTACTTATATGGATATAACTAGACGACACCACAACATATTTAAATGTACAAATTTTATGTTCCACCACTCCTTGAATACTGCGCGTTTATTCTTAGTAGTGCGAACATCAAAGATGATTTAACGCTGGAATCAATACAGAGACAATTTACACTTCGTAATCTTGGAACTGTTTGTATATTGTCATATAATTCCACATGTAACGAACTTGGGCTCGACCCTTTATGGAAGAGGAGACTCAAACTAAATCTTATCATCTTTTTCAAAATACATAACAAACTTAACAAACTTAACTTAACAACTTAACAAATTTAACGCCAATCAGGGATACACTGCCTGACAGCAGAAGCCTGAAAAGATCAAAGAGGAAAGATTCAAGAGAGAAAGTAATTAGAATATCAATACAAGGACAATGAATTCTGAAACAATTAATGAACCATTTGCAAATCAATTACTGGAGCACGGTTTTTCTATTTTGTCTGTCATTTTATACTGAATATGATTAGTTATTATCTTCTGTGGTCACGATCACTTCATTGTTACTTTACAATATACTGTACATTGTTCTGCAAGGTTTTTAGCAGAAGAGGTTATAACTTTGACGAAAATCAAATACACAATTTATTAGAAGAACATTCAGATAAGTTTCGTGCTAACTATGGAAACCATCTAATAAATAAATGGAATGATATCTAAAACAATGACAATTAAAGATCAAAATAATATGAGAACTAATCAAGATTAGTTGTTTCTTTGTAAACATCAAATTACTGAAACAAATAAGTTGGTAGCTATTGACTACAAGCTAACTCCATTGTGAACGTAAAAGAGAAATATATTTCTCTGAATTTAGCAATCACCATTCATAGTCTGAATATCTATAAGTGCTGATATTTCTAGAATTTTGAGACAATGATTCTATAGAAGTCTTTGATTTCATTATATGGCTTATTTGAGTGATTACATTAAATTTAACGTTCAGGTGAACAGCGAATAGCTTTCGAAGTTTTAGAAAAGCCAGTACTCATGTTGTATGAATCAAAATGCCATACTAAAAATGTGTTTTATAGTAATCTTTTAGAAGAACAGTCACACAAGCAGCATCGTTCAAAATGTCAACACAAATGATCAGCGCAAACAAAATGAAATAAAGAGATCAGTGAAACGTTCAACCTATTATATATAAAATATGTATCGGAAATTACAATGATAGGTTTATGATGGGTTTAATGAAGACAGTAACCAATCTAGATCGATGTCAACAGCACAAGCTGTTGGTCATATGTGGCGAAGTTCAAACACCTCACTTCTATTTGGTGCTTGTGACATGAATGTTGTTCAAAAGAATAATAAAAGCCCCACAATCAAACTATCTACTTACAAAATAAAATTCCCCAGAAATACAAACAGATAAGTGATTTATTTCTCTCCGACGTTTGAACATTATGTGAGAACAGACTTGTCAGTACGAAATAATAACAAAAATTACAAAAAGTGAAGTTGACTGAACTTCCTGCATAACATTCGCAGAATTGTCAGCATTTCACTACTATAATGAACGATGAGCAGGTGATATCTTATAGAAGAAGAATACACTTATTCAATACATAACAAACAGATTCTGACCAACTCCTTTATGTAGGATGATTTTTTGCTCATTTGAGATTTTCCCGCTGAATCTATGTACATACTAGTCTTGAGTGGAAAACCGAGACTTCATCATATCACATTACATTTTGAAATAACCAGACAAAATGTTCTTGTTAATGACTATGTAATGTATAAGCAAATAGAGTTTAGCAACATTAACCTAACAGGCATTTTCTCAAAATGAACAGTCTTATAACAAACAACTAACAACTCATCACAAATTCAAAGTAAACACATTGGTGATTAACATATTTTCAAGTACCTATAAGTGTAATGAATACAAATTAACCTTTGAAAACAAGATTTAATTTCAAGTTTCTATTTCATTTGGAATTCTTTACTGTATGAGAACTTTGATCAACATTCTTAAGTGATCTGTGAATTGATAAAATTTTGATTTGATTGTTAGTTGATTCATAACTCTATGAAATAGAGAAATAATAAATGTGATATTATCACACCATTGTAACTCAAAGTACACCATATCCATTCACTGTATATAAGACAATAATATTGTGATAGTTGCTAAATACGGGAGAGTACATTCGAGAGTTATTTGGACATGTTCACATCTATTTTGTGTATTGCTTCATTAATAACTCTTCTTGAAGCTCATGTTTCAGTTAAGAACGAAACGTTTGAACCATTGTCAGATGACATCATCTCGTATATCAATCAACATGTAAGTAATCCTCATTTGTGTTAATGTTAGAGATGACATGTATTGTAAAGCGATATATTTTGTATCTGTGCATAACCAACGCTTTTATTGTTAACTACCGATTGGATCAGAATACATCAATTACTTTAAGATGTATCTCGCTTCTGTGCGAAACAATACCGTACATACATTCAGAGCACTCCTCCTTAAAAACTGAACCTACTTTTAGTATATCGAATTCACTTAAGACTGTTTTGTACGCCATCAGCTTAACAATGATTTGATTTAATATATCTCACTTGAATACAACAACAATTCTAAATCTTCATATGTGAATTCGATTTGGAGTTCCATAATACCATAATCGTTTCTCATTATGTTTTTGATTTCAACATGTTTATTCTTCAGCCAAATGCTGGATGGAAAGCTGAGAAAAGCAACCGTTTCCACTCACTGGATGACGCACGTATTCAGATGGGTGCAAGAAGAGAAGAACCAGATTTGAGGAGGAGGAGACGTCCCACAGTTGACCACAATGATTGGAATGTAGAAATTCCATCAAGTTTCGATTCCAGGAAGAAATGGCCTCGTTGTAAAAGTATCTCCACCATTCGTGATCAATCGCGATGTGGATCATGTTGGGTGAGTGACATTGATGAGATTATTTGAAAACGCATGCCATGTTGACTTGAGTATTATTACTTTTACATATCTGTGACTGTGTAGAGGATCTCACAAACGTCAGACTGTAACAGAGTGAGATATTCTATAGAAATAATTTCCAAAATTGCTGCATGGCAACACTTTGATCAATGTTGAGTATCACGTCTGTGAGCGAACCAACCAACGGAACACAAAATGTTGGACTCCAGTGGCTTGTAAATTTTCAGCAGTCATTCCATGTAAATATTCTATGAAATCTAATACGTCTTGATATTGACATTGCTTTATTCCAGGCTTTCGGTGCTGTCGAAGCAATGAGTGATCGAAGCTGCATACAGTCAGGTGGCAAACAAAATGTCGAACTGAGTGCTGTTGATCTTTTGAGCTGTTGTGAAAGTTGTGGTTTTGGTTGTGAAGGTGGATTCCTTGGTCCTGCTTGGGATTATTGGGTGGAGGAAGGTATTGTTACTGGAAGTTCGAAGGAGAATCACACCGGCTGTGAACCATATCCGTTCCCGAAATGTGAACATCATACCAAAGGAAAGTATCCTCCATGTGGTAGTAAATTCTACAAGACTCCACCTTGTAAACAAACTTGTCAGAAAAAATATAAAACTCCATACATCCAAGACAAGCATCGAGGTAAGTAATGTTTCAGACAATGATAATAATTCATCATGAAAACATTGACTTGTCACCAAGATTAACCGATAAGCATAAGGTCCTCTATATTTCAAGAATGAAATATCTTGAAAAATGTTTCTGGAACAAAAATATTGACTGGCAGCAATGAAACTTAGAGCTGACGTGATGATTGTACTTCTGGTCTTTTAAATGTCGCGTACGTTGATCGACCACATCGAAAACAGTTACATTCTGAACTATGTTCACATAAAGTCATTCCCATAATAGTCATGCCACACATCGAGAGTTCATTTCGCATAGATGTATCACCAATCTTTCAAGTGATTACATATATGTCAATGTAGTTTGTTAGAATTCTGTGCTTCGATTTCCACAGAAAGTTCCTCATCTTATATTAGCAAACATTTGCTTGGAACTAATACTTCTACCCATGAAATAATCATCTTCGAGATTATTTTTGATAATTTTCTATTGAATCAATATAAATACAAAATAATCTGACATAGATGGAGTATACTTCATACTTACTATTCACCGTCATTTCATTTTCACGTTCAAATATGAAAAAAGCTTAAGGCTATCAATAGTTCCATTTACTTTTCCATTAACACCGATAACAGTTTCATTTTCACACATTCATATGTTAGGTAAATCATCCTACAATGTTTATAATAATGAAAAGTCTATTCAAAAAGAAATCATGAAATATGGACCAGTAGAAGCGAGTTTCACCGTTTATGAAGATTTTCTAAATTACAAATCTGGAATCTATAATCATATTACTGGTGAAGCACTTGGTGGGCACGCTGTACGTATTATCGGATGGGGTGTGGAAATCAATACTCCTTATTGGTTGATTGCGAATTCGTGGAATGAAGATTGGGGTGAAAATGGATATTTCAGAATACTACGTGGTCGAGATGAGTGTTCCATTGAATCCGAAGTAACAGCTGGTCGAATTAACGAGTAACACAATTTTCAAACATCATCACAAAATGTTAATTTCAGTTAATCAGGTCATTATAAATGTCAACCGAATGCTTTTGAGACATGTTTTATATTCATATTATCTTTTTATTTGTTTTATATTATAAATAAACTGTTGCGAATTCTTACAAAACTCCTTACTGAACTGGGTGTATCTGTTGGATGTATTGTGGTCGCAAGAAGTTCATTCAAAGTAACGAAGTGATAAACAGCTGTGTTATTTTAGACGAACTGTTTAATCGTTATCTACAAGCTTTCATCGAACAAATTACTCTTCATCCCGATTACATGTTCACTGAAATGAAGTCATACATTCGATTTCACCATTCTATATCAAGCATAGGAAACATCAGATTCAAGAATCTATTCTCTTGTCACAATGATTTTTTCAAAAACCTGTAAACTGGCACGTATTCTCAATAGATCGCTGATAATTAGATTAGAGACAATCGAATATATGTGAATACAAAATTACAGAACATCTGAAGAAAATCTGAACATCACACGGTAAAAAATTCATTTGCCAATTGCCAATCAGTTGTCTCAGACTTCAGCATTCTTTCGTTTCCACATAAATCATTTTCCGTTCCCGTTCTCTTTTCCTAGAACTTACCCTTCAGAGGCCAGGTGTTTCACTTTCCATTGATGTTAAACAACACTTATATCTGTCGACAGCGTTAGCACACACCATACAACCAAAAGTCAACTCGGTGTGTGAGTAATTTAGGATATGATACGTTTGCAGCAAATGAAGTTATTATGAAATGAGTAGTGGTAAATGCTTCATATACTAGTGGCAAAAATATCATTGACAGTTTTTATGCAAAGATGCATGAATAAACATGAGTACAGTAATGAAGGAAATGCTGTGCTATTCACACGGACTGGTGTAAATAGTATGTAACAGTTAATAAATAATTGGAAAGAACGTCCTAAAGCAAGTAAAATAACAACAGAAATAGAACACAAATAACTTTCAATGTACTTAGTAGTAGATAACCTGATGAATCTCAGCTAAGATCAGGTATAAACCCTTGTGATGATATATAATATTCAGGCAACTTGCACAAAAATAGGAGATTGATGAAACTTAAGTCAAAATATCAGCATTCAACTATGTCAATCCGCTAAGTAGCAAATCCATAGTTTATCCCCCCAATACGCAACCTGATGTGTGTGAAAATCGTATTTACACACTGATTCGTTTTACGGATTAGCGGTTCAATGAGATTTTAGTAAAGAATTATCTTAAACAAGCGATTGTTATGATCAATTATTTGTGATAACATGAGCTTATAGACAATGGACGGGTACATAGTAAAAATTGTTTACCGCTGACGTGATGATCTGGGTGGAGCTTATAACTTGATACATCAGGTATTTCTTGTGATCGGTTAAAAATTCAGTGAATTATGGGTAATTTTCCGTGTTCTCAATGATTAGATTTCTTTTACGTATATGCGATTGCCATGCAATGTCTTATATCCATCTAGACAATATTGAAGAATGAGACTTTTAGCTTATAAGGATGGTTATTACTGACAAACGTATTTTTTTTAAAGTGAATCGTTGATTTTGAAATCTTATTTTACCTTTCATTATAAAACCATATGTGAATCTCTTAACAATGAAAGATTTCAACTTCTCACCATGTCTATACACATCAACACATCGCTGAATGTAACGTTAAATATAGACCGAAGAAAAACACTGACTATCGTGAAAAAAGATATATGGATTATTGTTTAATATGATAGATCCAGAACTATGAACTCTATCGCTGTGACAGAGAAACTAAGCGAGGAGGCAGTTGTCTTATATTTGCTTTGGATACCTTAACAACTAACAAAGTTGAATATAGTATCTTGAAAAGTTTACCAAAATCGATCTGAATATCAATCAATACCCTAAACCATAATCTACTACTAGGTTGTATATATAGAGCTCCTGATAGTACTGATAATTTGAATGATCTTATTATCAATGCATTCATACACGCATTTACTCTAAACTTCAGTGCTAAGATTATCACTGGCGATTTTAATTATCCTGGGATTAACTGGAGTACCGGTAGGTGTCAATCAAGCAATGATGAATTTTCGTCAGTCGTTAACCTGTACTGCTGGTCAAAGTGGGTTAGTACCTCAACAATGGGTGATAATATACTTGATCTAATGTTTAGTAGAAATCAGTACAAGTATGCAAAGAATTTGAAAGCAGTGATCATAAGATAGTAGCTTGTGCTCTCCCTATATATCCATCTTATAACCGACCAAATCAAAATAAATTGAAAAATATAGAGACTGTAAGCAGGCAGACTGGACTTCTTTAATTTAGTCTATTCTCTTCGTAGCCAAGGATATCTAGTATTGTTGCTATACTTACTAACTTACGCCCGTTACCCCTCGTCGAGGAGCAAAGGCCGCTCACCAGCATTCTCCATCCAACTCTGTCCTGAGCCTTCCTTTCCAGTTCTTTCCAGTCGCTGTTCATCCTTTTCATATCTGCTTCTATTTCCCAGCGTAGTGTGTTCTTTGGCCTTCCTCTTTTCTGCTTCCCTTCCGGATTCCAAGTTACGGATTGAGTCGTGATGCACATTGGTGATTCCCTTAGTGTATGTCCGATCCACTTCCAACGTCTTCTCCAAGCTGGTTTGTCCTCTCTCATAAAACGCTGTTGCTGATAGTATCCGGCCAATGGATGCTGAGTATTTTGCGTAGACAGTTGTTGATAAATACTTGTACCTTCCTGATGATGGTCGTAGTAGTTCTCCACGTTTCAGCTCCATACAGTAGGACTGTCTTGACGTTCGTGTTAAAGATTCTGACCTTGAAATTGGTTGAGAGTTGTTTTTAGTTCCATATGTTCTTCAATTGTAGAAATGCTGCCCTTGCTTTGCCAATCCTCGCCTTTACATTTCCATCCGATCCTCCTTGTTTATCAACGATGCTCCCCAGGTACTTGAATATTTCCACCTCTTCCAGAGTTTCGCCATCAATTGTGATTGGGTTGGTGTTCTCCTTGTTGCATCTGAGAATCTTGCTTTTTCCTTTGTGAATGTGGAGGCCTATGGATGCGCAGGCTGCTGCTACATTTGCTGTCTTCATCTGCATTTGGTCGTGTGTATGAGAGAGGAGGGCTAGGTCATCTGCGAAGTCCAAATCATCTAATTGATTGTGAGAGGTCCATTGTATTCCGTAATTCCCTTCAGATGTCGAATTCTTCATAATCCAGTCAATCACTAGAAGGAAGAGGAATGGGGAGAGTAGACAGCCTTGTCTGACTCCGGTCCTTACTGGAAATGCATCTGTCAGCTGTCCTCCATGCACGACTTTACACTGTAGTCAATCGTATGAGTTTTAGATAATGCTGACGATCTTCTCAGGAACTTCATAGTGTAGAAGAATTTTCCATAATCTCCTGTCCACGCTGTCAAACGCCTTCTCAAAATCAATGAAGTTGACGTATAGTGATGAGTTCCACTTAACTGATTGTTCAACGATGATCCGTAGTGTAGCAATCTGGTCTGTGCACGATCTATCCTTACGGAATCCTGCCTGTTGATACCGAAGTTTGGCGTCTACTGCGTCCTTCATCCGATTCAGCAGCACTCTGTTGAAAACTTTTCCTGGTACTGATAAAAAACTGATGCCTCTGTAGTTCTCACATTTGCTCAGATCTCCTTTATTTTGTATCTTGATGAGATATCCTTCTTTCCAGTCCATTGGCACTTGTTCCTCTTTCGAAATCTTCTTGAATAGAAAGTGAAGCATGTTTGCAGTTATTCCAGTGTCTGACTTCAGTGCTTCTGCTGGTATATTATCAGGTCCTGCCGCCTTCCCACTTTTAATTTGTCTGATGGCCATCTTGACTTCTTCGATCGTTGGTGGAGTGATATCTATTGGAAGGTCAGTGTGGGCTGCTTCGATGTTCGGTGGATTCAATGGGGCTGGTCTATTCAGCAGTTCCTCAAAGTATTCTGACCATCTTTTCCTCTGTTCTTGAATCTCAGTGATTGTCTTTCCTTCTTTGTCCTTGACTGGTCTCTCTGGTTTGCTATATCTCCCTGCTAATTTCTTCGTTGTATCATATGTTTGTCTCATACTCCCTTCTCTTGCAGCTTTTTCCGCCTTCATTGCTAGTTCTTCGATGTATTTCTGCTTGTCAGCTTTAATGCTTTTCTTCGCTTCCATGTTTGCTTCTGCGTAGTCAGCTTGTGCTTTGACATTCTCTACTCGTGTTCGGCTGTTGTTAATCGCTAGGTTCTTGTTCTTCCTTTCTTGAATTTTGTCCAGGGTTCCCATAGAGATCCATTCCTTGTGATGATGCTTCTTAGGACCAAGAACCTCCTGACACGTTGAAGTTAGTGCTTCTTTTATCCCTTTCTAGTTGTCCTCCAAAGTAGTTTCTTGTCCATCCAGTAGATCCTGTAGAGCTTGTAACCTGTTGTTGAGAGTTATCTTGAATTCATGGAGCTTGTCAATATCTCGAAAGAAGGCTGTATTGAACTATTGTAGTACTGTTTGTCCAGATGTCCAGTCTTTCTTTAGCTTCAGTCTCATCTTGGCCACAACCAGGTGGTGATCTGAAGCTATGTCAGCTCCTCTCCGGGTTCTCACATCTTCCATTGATCTTCGGAAGTTTTAATTGATACAGATGTGATCTATCTTGTTCACTGTGGTTTGGTCCGGTGAGATCCATGTAGCTGTGTGTATGCGCTTGTGTGGGAATAATGTGCCGCCTATAACCAACTTGTTGAATACACATAGGTTTGCAAGTCTCTTGACATTTTCATTTCTCTCTCCTAGTCCATGTCGTCCAATTATATCTTCATATCCTGTGTTGTCCACTCCAACGTTAGCATTTAGATCTCCCATCAGAATGGTGAGATCCTTTCGTGAGCACTTCGCTATAATTTATTGCAGCCTTTCATATAACTGATCTTTATCATCGTCCTTGCTATCATTGGTGGGTGCATAACAT